GAAAGATTTTAGAATCACTTAGTTTAATTAAGTCAATTTTATAAATGTTATGGACATTGCGTAATTTTATTTCTGCATATATTTATAATATGTTTTGAATGTGCGACTTTTTTTCTAAACCCACTTTTTTCCCGCTTGTAAACACAGGGGACACTGCGCATGCTCAGCGTAACGACGCACATACGTAAGCTCACTCGACCAAAACAAATATGGCGGATACAGTAATGATGGTAAAGACTCCAAAACCTTTTGTCTGTTTTTTCCCCGGTTTTTCTTGATTTCGTTTATGGGTTCGGCCGTTTTATAAAGTCGTCGTTGGGCCGGAGAAGTGTTTTTGGAAGGTAGTTTGACCGGACACCCAACAAAACGAAACCTAGACTATAAACGGAAGTGTGTGTGGCTTTTTTGAAACTAAACATCCGCCTGTGCAGCGCGTGTTTGCTGTGTTATGTCGTTATTTCAGTGCATGAAAAATGGGGAAAACATGAAAAATAAAGACGTTGAGGTTCAACGACACGAAGAATGGTGTGCTGATTGAGAGGACCAATAATATGTAACTCAAAGCAAAGAAAGGAGAAATGGACTTAACGTGGATACAACCTGAGAGCACCGAGTGGTAAACAGTAATACTTTACAGAAATATTACCATGGGTTTGGTAAACTTTGTCATATCCACTGTAGGAAAATGTCTGGATGCTCTCTGCTTACTACTGGACCTGAACTTTGTCATCGTCCACACCGTGGTGCAGACTCTCCTGGCAGTCATCACCTTCATAACCAGCCTGCCCAGCCTCCTTTATAACTCGGTGCTGGAGCTGGGAAACCTCGTTCTGCTTTGCGCTGTGTCCACCGCGGAGGCGACATCAAACCTAGCTCACAGCACTGTGGCTAATTTGGGGAGCTTGTTGCTGGTTCTGGAGGGGCTCCTGGAGAGCTTGAAGATGGTGGGTTACCTGTCTATGCACGTCCTACTGCGTGGAAAGGAGCACTTGTGTCGAGGGCTGCTGTCAGTGATTGAGGGCTGTGGCATCGCAGTCAGCCTGGTGGTCTATTTTACCAACACAGTGGTAAACTTTGTGCTTATCGCTACCCAGAACATCTACTTGGCATTGGTCAGCATGTGGCAGACGGTTTCCACCCCACTGCAGAAGGCGCTGGAGCTCACGTTGACCTGTTTCACCTTTCTGTACAGCAGCCTGGCCGGCACATCAGCTTTGCTATGGACACCCTGCAAGATCGTTTTGGACTTCCTGGTTTCACTGGTGCACATGTTCATTAGCATCTTCATACTGAACATCTACGGCCTCGTGCTCACCATTACTATTGCACTGGCCACCACCGCTTACCTAAACCCGGGACTGTCCCGACAGATTGCTGTGCGCGTTGTAGAATATATAAACTCCTTTTCACTTCTCCGTAGATTATGTTTGGCTCTCAATTGCATCACTTCAGCCTTACTGTGCACGCCTCACTTTATACGCCGTAACGTGCAGTACCTGCAGAGGATCCTCTATCACATCTACCGACTGGAGAGACGACTTTGGCAGCAGTTGTCTCACCAAAGCAGCCTGATTGGCATGATGCTCCGACCACATCTTCACAGGCAAAACAATAACAATAACAGCAACAACAGAGCTGGAGGTGACGGTGACCCTGGGGAAGAGAGGCGGGACCCACCAGATGGTAGAGCAGGAGATGGAGCCCACCAGGAGGTGCTCAATCCAGTTTTACCCTCCTCCAGCACAAACAAGCAGCTAAAGAAGAAGTCATGTTCAGGCGAAGATGGTAAACCTCTGCCAGCTGAGAGTCTGCTGACTCTGCTGAAGGAACAGGAGGAGAGGAAGAAGTGTGTGATTTGTCAGGATTGTGCCAAGACAGTGGTGCTGCTGCCTTGCAGACACCTCTGCTTGTGTAGAGACTGCACACACATTCTTTTAAGGCAGCCCATCTACCAGCAGAACTGCCCGCTCTGTCGGCAAATGATCCTCAACACCATGGACGTGTATCTATGAGGGACCAGCCAAAGTGGATCAACCGGTGTCTGATGCCAAGTAGCCTCACAGCCTATCAGTATCTACATGTATAAGTTTTACCACCAGTGAGCTTTACTATTTAAAGATTTATTTTTTTGTCTTTTCACTTAAATGGGACTTAAGTGAAAAGACCAGACCAGACTTGTTAAACATACTGGATAGCTCTGGATTATTTGGGAATTGAGAGATTTAATGATAGTAAGAAAAGAAAAAGTCACCAGGTTGTCTTCTGGTGTCAGATGCGTGCACACGTTAACAGCACATGTTGTGCCCTGATTCCATACTATACACTAAATGTAAACAACACATAGTATGTACAAGTTCTCATGGTAAACATTTTCTGTGAGTATGCAAGAAGTCAACATATTTATATGTGCACAATATTTGTGCCATGATGCATCACAAAAGTGATACAGCTGTATACATTTTGGGAGAAAGCCAGATGTTTTGTTTTGTTTTTTCAGCTGTAAGCACCTCTTTGTGCATTTTGCATCAAAAATGTAAACACAAGCTTCTTTTTCTCACATGACGCCCTGGAAAATATCAGAATAAGTTCTGTTCTCACTTCTGAGAATATTCCTTAGCTTAGGTGAGGTAGTGGCGTGGGTACGCCTTGCTTGCTTAATTCTACGCATTATTTTCCACTCCGTTCCTTCAGGCATCATATAAACTTTATACCCAAGGAGCTAGAAGTGTAAAAAAATCAATTTTCAGAATGATCTCTGTTCAGGGATGCAATGCTTACAATGCTTTAAATATCAGTCACGTGTGCAACTGTGTGTGTGTGTGTGTTTGAGCTTTGCTTTAATTTTTGCCTTCCCAGTGTAAATCCATACTCAAATCCTAGAGTTAGTCTTGATTTTGGGGGCAAGTCTCCAATTTAAGAGTAAGCTGTGTCTGTTGCTGTTTGCCACAGGGATGCACTGATTAATCAGCCACGCATCAGCTGTTTGCCAGTATTAACCTTGCTGACTGCCTGCTACCCATTTAAGATGATAACTACAGTGGCCCTGAGAGGTCAAACAGACTGCAACTAAAGAAACATCAGCAAATAGAGAAAGAAAATACTGCACAAATACAACAAAAATAGAAAAAAAAACATTGCAAAAGCTAAAAAAAATTAACGTTTTTAGTTTCTGGGGAAACAACTATTTGATACAGCAGCTGTGGAAGTTACAGAAACCAAAACGTGAAGGATTGCACTGAGACACACTCGACAGAAGCAAAAGATTCATTATCGTTGTAAAGGAGAAGCAATGCAAGGCAGTATATATATTGTTTTAATCACACAATTCATACAGTACTGTAGACGTATGTTTGCTGTTAGCTGTTTACTGTTAGCTTGTCACTTCCACAGCTGTCCTGTCACGTTATTGTCTTCCCAAAAACACTTTTTCTTTGGTGTTTTTTTCCCCCTTTAGTTTTTCCTTTAACAGTGTTGTGTCAGTTTCTGCTGTGTTTTGTGTGCTTTTACAGAATTTTCCAGTTTACTGGTGGGTTTCTTTTAAGATGCAGTGCATTTGACCACTCAGAGTTCTTAGGTTTGGTCAACTGAATGCTCAAAAACAAGGTGGTTAAGAGGTCTGGTATATCCTTAAAAGTGATTGTTTGTTTGTTTGTTTGTTTGTTTGTTTTAAGTTTCCCTGGCACAAATGGAGTTCCAGTGTTGCTACATTGAGCCTCAGGCATTGCTAAAAAAGCTTTTCTACCACTCATGTCTTAAATTGTTGTGATTCCAGTGGGCCAAGCTGTGAAGGAAGGAAGCTAACACTGTGCTTTTACTTTATTAGTGAACACATAATTCCACATGCTGTACGCATGAATGTTGTATGTATAAATGCAGCTTTCACCCTTTAGACCAGATTCTGTGAACCACTTCACCATTTTGTCTTTCCAGTCAGGCTTGATTCCATTTATTGTATCTTATTTCTTCCAGCTGATAGGGTCTTTCCTGTCCTCTGCCAGAGGTGAGTTACAGTCACAACTGACGAGTAATCCATAAATGGTTTTCCCTTTCTTTTGACATTGCCGTAAAACAGATTTCTGTGGTATAAAAGGACCATAAACAAATAAGGATTTTGCAATTTAATTTGCGGTTGTTTCTCCCTTTTTTTTCTGTTTCATTTAAAATATTAAAATTGATTTATGTTAAAAGTTTACAGGACAATATTTTGTCACCAGTTATTGCGTTGTTATTGATGGTGGGTGGTGTAGAGTCAGATATGGAGAAAGAAGAAAATGCCACTGGTCATTTGATCAGATTTGCCTTCTTACAAGATCATATAAAAATCCTCATTTTGTGTAATTTAAATTGCAGTTTCTGAAGAATTTGCAGGGTCTCGAGTTGTGTAATGGAAAATACTGATGATGTCACGTTTTCTACCGCGGGTGAAAGCGGTCTCAGTGTCAATTTGGAAGATTATTCATGATTCTAGAGCCTGTAGTCAGAATAGACCGCTCTCAGGTATTTCTAAAGCACCAATGGCAGTCCTAACTAAAGATTGCAGTGGGTAGAAACACATGCTGATTGCTGAATGTATGAACTGTGTGAGCAGTGAAGGACTGTGAGTTGAAGACATGAATGTGTGTTATGTTTTTAAAATTGCCATGTGACTGTCTTGTGTTTGTAATAAAATAACAATCCCTGAAACTGAAGCTCTTCATCTTCCTTCATCCAAGTGAATGTTTTTGTACAATTTTACCTGCAGAGGATTTTATTAAACAACCCATTAATTAATTAATCTATAGCATGGCATCGAACACCAAAAAGAAGTTTTAAGACCATGTTAAAATGTTTTGTCCAACCAGCAGTGCAAAGATGTGTGGTTTCATAGAAAACTGATTATTAGGTACACCCGTTCAGCTCCTCATTAATGCACATATCTGTAGACAACCACATGGCTGCAGCTCAGTGCGTTTAGGCATCTTGACAACCATGTTCAAAACGAGCAACAGAATGGAGGAAAAGGTCATTTTAGGTGACCCTGATCAGCCAGTCTTAGGTTTTTCCATACAACCATCTCTAGGATTTACAGAAAATGGTCTGAAAAAGGGAAAATTATCCAGTGAACAGCAGTTTCTCGAAGTGAAAATGTCTTGTTGAAGTCAGGTTGAAGTAGAATGGTCAGACCCTTTTGAACTGATAGGAAGGCATCCTGTGAAAGGTGTGTAGTATCCTGTGGAGCATCTCTGAATGCACAACATGTCAAGGCAGATGAGCAACAGCAGCAGAGGACCACACTGGGTGCCACTCCTGTCAGCTAAGAACAGGAAACTGAGGCTACAACAGAAGATTGAAAAACATTGCCTGATCTGATCAGTCGTGCAAGATCTATCTTAATACCTGAAGTATTGTTCATTAGGCTTTTTTATTCCACAGTCGTTGAAAGAACAAATAGGTAAGATAAATAATAGAAGATAAGATTTGCTTTTAAATTTACAAATGTGAAGCAGACAACTCGCTCTGACGTCGATCTTAATACATTTCGTTTTACATAAGGCACAAAATCTGCCAGCTGTACAAAGTCAACTGCACAGGATGCAACTCTGGACAGTTGATGACATCGGTCATTTCAGGACTGAGGCTCTAAAATAGGCTAAATCTCCCTTCAGGTGAGTTTTGAGGGAAGATCCAGCCTCAGGAAGGAGGGTACCACCTCTGGTTGAATGCCTCATGCTGTTTCTGTAAACATGTTTCCAGCTGAGCACAGATGCAAAAAGTATATTAAAACTAAAAAAATAAATATTGCGAATGAACATCCTGTGTTCTTCCATGTTTTAATACTGTGACCATGAAGTTGGTCAAAACTGGCTGAAGAAAATGTGACAGGCTAAAAAGGCTTGACGGTTACTGTTATTTCCTGCAAGAAAAAAATAATTCACGTCTGTTGTGACACATCAGACACAAAGGGCGGTTTGGGGAAATGAGTGTAGCTGTGATTCAGGTGCAGCACATGAGAGGAAACAGCCACACTCAGGAAAGGCGTTTAAAAAAAAAAACAAAAAACATGTCGTAAAAGAATAACCACAGGTGCAAATAATAAAAGTATCGAAGACTGAGACACACGCAGCACTGAGAGTCGCAGTGTTGTTCACTGTGGCTGTCATTAAATATCACAGCCAGCATTACTGTTAATACCCACACCTGTACTTCTCTCGCTATATGAAAATTCTATTCAATTTTATTTATATTGCGCCAAATCACAACAACAGTTGCCTCGAGGCGCTTTATTTATAAGGTAAAGACCCTATAACAATACCGGAAAACAGAGAAAACCAAAACAATCATATTAGCCCTTTAAGTAAGCACTTTGGCGAGAGTGAGAAGGAAAAACTCCCTTTTAACAGGAAGGGTACGTATAAAGTAATACAGACTTGTTACACATTTACTTTACTTATGGCAACAAAGATGATGCAACAGTTCAGAGATAGTTTAGTTTTCACGTCTTTTGATTCTGAAGATAAAGGAGCTGCTTTGTGAATGAGGGTGCGTGTCTGGGGCTTGCAGAAAGGCTGCAGGATTAAGGGGGGAACGGGGTCCTAATGGCCAGCTGGGAATACTACTATAATCCTATTACAATTCATCAGAGCCTTGTGGCTTACAACTTCAGAGGCTTCATTCTCATTCCCAATGTTCCCTCTAAAAATATCTCCATATTAAACATCTGCTCAGATGTTTAAAGTCCACCTTGACCTCCATAAATATAATTCTAATGTTTCTTTTCGCACTTAAACTATGTTGCTGTTAAATCATTCTGGCTCTGGCTCAGCTGGAGACAATAAGACTTATTATTTAAATGACAGAGAGGTGAGGTTGCTACCTGACCCCCAACCTCAACACACTGTAACACACCAAAAACAAATCCGGGTGCTATTTGTTGTCTCCTGACCTGTGAGCCCAGCCTCAGCGGTGTTTATGTTTGTTGCAAATGAGGGTGGTGTTAACAGAGGAGAGGAAGTTTGATGTCAGGAGAGGAGCAAGAAGAAGTAAACCGAGGCGAGCAAAATGCTCCGGGGATCTGGCCTCTTCCTTCTGACCCCGGTGGTCTTGCAGTGTGGGAAAATCTCAAACTCCAGCACACTCATCTTTGACTCATTCAGGCTCTACTTCTTCTGATTTTAAGCTCCATCTCCATCCCTTACTCTGACCTTTCCCTTCTACATCTTTTCCATAAAGTATTGGCTAATTTTGGTGTCTTGCAAAACTGGAAATTCATTTTTCACACTGTAGCAGAAATGGGGGAATTTACATGAGCTAGTAATCACGCTGATCTGGAGCTGACCCTTACCCTTTAACCCCCTCATGAGCAACAGGGAAATATTCCTGAGTAGATGATCTGAAAGAGTACAGTTGGAGACAGAATACAAAGGTTTAGAGCCAGTGTGGCAGTAATGTGTAGAGACAAGGAAGAAAGGGGCAGCTCATTAGCCTCAGCCTCAATCCTAACCCTCACTCTACTGTAATTAAGAGATTTGTTGTAATGAATCCAACTAATCCCGATAGCCTTTAATAAACAGAGTGTGTGATGTATGGGCAGCTCAGAGGCTGAAGCTGGTAACCACTGAAGGAGGAAGCTGGATGGTAGCAGATCCAGCAGTTTTGTTGATACTTTGTGGTACTGTGATACCTTGAGCTTTAAACCAAAGAGAAGCACTTTGATGTGTTACTTTTTGCTATGGCTGAAAGACTACTGAAAACAAAAATAGGCAGTGATGCTGATTTAAATGTAGTTCTTATAAGAAATATCCAGACCCATGATTTGTAAGACAGACTCTGTAAATTTAATGCAGCTTCTATTTAAAAAACAAACAAACACTAATCAACAGAAAATGGGCCATAATGTCAGTGTGAAGAAAAGTACAAGTGTTTGTACAAGTCCCTTTGACGGGACACACCCAAATTGTTTGTTATTTCTATGCCCATTGAAACTTTCTGGTCAAGAGGGACATAAAAGATCTGATTACAGTACTGTACAAACGTCTTGAGACACTCCTTGAGACAGGGAAAACAGATGTACTGATTTATTGAAACGTGCAAACATGCAAAGAAATACAGTATGTGAGACTGAGCAGACTTTGGTGTGATTGCCTTCATTATTCAACACAGCCTGAACTCTCTTAGACAGTTGTTTTTGTAATTTATATAAGCAGTCTTCAGGAGTAGTTCTCCAGGCTTCTTAAAGGACATTCAAAGCTCTTCTTTGGATGTTGGCTGTGTTTTGTTCTGTTATCTGTCAAGATGATCCCACACTGAGTCAATAATTTTGAAGTTCAGCTCTGGGGAGACCAATCCATGGATGACTGTGCTCCACTGTGTGTGTTTCACTGCACTAGCAGTGTGTTTGGGATCATTGTTTTGTTCAAGTGTGAAACCATTGACAGTCAAATGGTTTTGCATGGAGAGTCACAATCTCACAGACATTTCCACAACCGGCGGCTGAAATGATGCCCAAACCACGACAGAGCCTCCAGTGTGGCTACAGATGGCTGTAGACACTCACTGTTGTACCTCTTTCCTCAGCTCCTCTGCACATAGTGATGACACTTTGAACCAAAACTTTCAAATTTGGAAAGTTTCATCACTCCATCAGACCCGTTGCCCCTGATTTTTCAGTCCAGTTCTTGAGTAACATAGCATGGCAAAACCTTTTCTGCCTGTTTCCCTTTCTTAAGAATCACTTCTTGACAACTATCCTTCCACTGAGACCATTTCTGATGAGGCTTCATCGAGCAGATAGTAGATCAAACGAAGAGTCAACTACATCTCCCAGATACTGTGTCAGGTCTTTGCTGGATTTAGTTCCCATTTCTTAAGGGCATGACTTTCAGATACTATTCATGATTAAAGATACAATTTAAAACTGGTTGTTTGCTAAGTTTTCTGTATTGTGTAGACACAACACTGGTTCACCCCTACAGTTACAGTTGAAAATCTCTACAACAGGATTTAAATTCTAAATTTCTTTACAAGGTAGACAGACTGCACCATGACAGGAAGCATGACAGGAGACTTTTGAGAAGCACCGGTGCAATTTAAACTCATAAACTCCTGGATACTATCAGGTGAAAATATGAAGTTCTCCTGGCGGTTGAATCATCATTCAGCCTACATGCTGACATGCAGCCAGTTCAAAACTCCATTTATTACTCACACGTTTTCACAGTGAGAGTCCTAATGTTACACCAGCTTTCATACATTCATAATGAACAGAGAAGAGCACAGAGTGAATCGGCAAGGTTCACGTATTGATCTGTCTAAAGTACGTCTGAGCTGCTTCACAGATGTGGGTTTGTTTTATGATAACAGTTACTCTAATATAGATTCCGTCTATCAATCTGAGTACATTTGTATGCATGCATGCATTGTTTTTGTCTTAAATAATCTGATGTTTACAATTTTAAAATATTTCATTGTTTCTAATTATGTTTTTGTGTTTCAGGAGCAGGAAATAAAGTGTCTTATTTCTCTTGTCTAGCTTGTCAAGTGTACATTCTGTTAAAATGAGAAGAAATGTTTAGTAACTAAGGGAGTCCCTTTGTGACATGATGGAGAGTAGCTACTTGGGTCACAAACTGAACTAATAAAATGTTCATTCCTGTGCTGCGTGGATCTATTTTAACATCAGCAGCTTCTACTGAACACGTCATAAAGGCACCTCAGGAGTGTCAATACTGCTGGCTGAAATCATGAGTCCTGCCCAGACACTGTGAAGTAATGACACTATGAAGTTTGCAGGCAGTGGTGCTGAATAGCGGTGCAACACTGCCCCCTGCTGGATGAAGTGTTTCCATCAGCTCTAGACAAAATACGCAGCTATGAGCAAAAGAATGGCAGGGCTATAAATACACATGGGGGTAATCAGGGGAATGGGACACAAGAGGGTAACAACACAAAACTGAAAGTATATAATCTAAAATCATGTTACTCGTTTCTTCTTCTTCTTCTTCTTCTTTTTTCAGCTGCTCTCTTTAGGGGTTGCCACAGCAGATGCAACATCCTCTTCTGTCCTTTTCTTTTCCTCCTGCCAAGTAGCTCCATCTTCAACATCCTTTGTCCAATACATCTGCTATCTCTTTTTTCCACATGTCCAAACCGTCTCAGTCTTGCCTCTCTAATTGTCTCCAAATTGTTACACTTGAGCCGTCCCTGCACTCTGTGTGTTGTGATCACATCTTCAGCTCTGCCACCTCCTTCTCAGCCTCCTGTCTTTTTGTTCGTGCCACCGTCTCCAAATCATGCACCATCTTGTAAACCTTCTCTTTTACTCTTGCTGCTATCTTTCTGTTACAAATGACTTGTGACTCTAGTCTCCACCTGCTCCATCCAGTCTGCACTCTATTCGTTACCTCTCCTGTGCTCTGTCATTGCTTTGAATGGTTGAAACCAGGTATTTAAACTCATCCACCTTCACTACCTCTACTCTTCTTTGCTTTTACACCTCCCTCCTACACATGTATTCAGTCCTGCTTCTACTGACGAGGAAGAGTAAATCATGACCTTACTTCAATGAACAAATAAAATCAGAAAAATGTAATTTTAGATCTTTTCTTTTTGGGACATCAATCAGACCTTGGGTGCTTTGATTTGTAGCTTCTTTATCTGCAGCTACATCTTAATCCAAATGTCAGACTCTCACCTTCTTTTTTTAAGTGCCCAGTCTGTATTTCAGGGAGTGATGTCACTGTCTGCTTTACCCTCAATTCTAAGCCTCAACATAGCGATGAAGGCTGTGAACTAATGGAAATAACTGACGTACGCCAAGGGAAAACTTATTAACTCATTGCATCCTTCTCCATCCCTGAGCGGGAATAGTTAGAAGGACCCATCTGGAGCTTAATATTGTGCAGGGGTTTGACAGAGAAATAAGAGAATAACATTTCATCATGTCTGAGTGTAATTAACAAGACTTTCTCGAGCTCTGGTCTTGTCGGAGTTTATTCGAGAAAATAAACAGTTCAGCCCCAGATGTCAGGAAACAGAGGGGGCGGCTCATCTGAGTAAACCATGAGATTAATTCACACCCACAATTATTGTTGGGAGGAGAGAGAGAGATGCTGACTAACATCAACCAGCTCGTAGTGTATCTGTCAGGGTACTTAGAGCGTTTGGTGAACTCATTAGGCAGAGGTACCCAGCATGAATCCAGTGGAAAATGAATATTTTCCAGCCTTTTTCATTTGGGTATTTACTTTAGTAGTTTTCTGCCTTTGGGAATTAAACCAGAGGACTTGGGCATTATTCATAGAAATGCCATGTGAAAGCACTTTATGCAACTTTACACTAGAGAAAACACTACATTTTGACTTCACTACATTTGGTTTTTACTTTTCAGATTAAGATGTTACATTAAATGCATTAAATTTAATTAAATAACAGTTGTGTGAAAAAAGTGTTCGCCCCCTCCTGATTTCCCTTTTTTTTTGTATGTTTGTCACCCTTAAATGTATCAGATCATCAAACACCTTTAAATATTAGACAAAGACAACACAAGTAAACACAAAATGTAGTTTCTAAATGAAGGCAAGTGTTATTAAGGGCAAGTAAAAAACATAAAAGACAACCATCGTATGTATCGCATCTTTGGAAAG